GCGCCGTCTTTTGGATGAGACGTTAAACCGAGGTCCCGACTCTCTGTGTTCGTTAAAAATCCCAGGATGTCCTTCGAAAAGAGTAGGGGTTTAACCCCGGCATCCAGGCCAAATCTGCCCACTGGCCTCTGTGAATCATGGCCTCCTAACCATCCCCATATTCCAATTGGCTTCATCGCTGTCTCCTCTCCACCCATCAGCTGGTGTGTGGTGTGCGGTCTGGCGCAAAATGGCTGCCGTCGCGTCATCCAGGTGGATGCTGCACACTGGTGGTGGATGAGGAGATTCCCCCCATTGTGTGTAAAGCGCTTTGAGTGCCCAGAAAAGTGCTATATAAATGTAAGGAATTATTATTATTATTATTATTATTCAAAGAGGTCTCTGTCTGCTTTTTTGGTCCCCTTTTGGTGCGCACTTGCTACATTCACACTTACCCAAATGAACCGCATCAAGAGGAAAAATTAACCCTTCAGCGAATCAACTGAACTAAATAAGACAGATGTGAAAACACCTAAATGACATTTTAACATTTAGTATTTCATCTTAGGTTAGTTGATTTTATCCTGTCATTTCTAATGTTCACTTTTAAAGTTTTTTCTAAGATGAGTTTTTATATACTTATAACTCTCTCTGTACTCCAAACAACAAAACTATCATGACATTCAAGACACGTCAACATCCAGATAATTAAAACCGTATCAAAGCCAATTTCCTCAAATTACAAAAAAAAACTAAACTACTTCTGATACTAAAATTAAAGAGTTGCTCCATTATCAAACTGAACTGAAGGAAGAAGCCAAATGCACTGATGTGGTGTGTGGCAGAAAAAAAGGAACAACTATTGGTTCTCAAAACAAAAAGAGGAAGATAACAGACAGATCCGAGAAAAACGAGAAACAAAGAGCGAGAGATGGATGAGATTGAGGGCAGCAGAGACAGTGGTGGATGTTCAGAGCCTGGAGGTTTTAACCACAACATCCTCCACACACATTGGAAAGACTGGAGGGAGGGACGCCACCAAAATACAGGGAGGCTTTTTATGGTGCACGAAACACCCATATTATATCATTTCATCAGTGGGCTGTTTTTACCTCTGATCTGAAAAATCCGAAGGAAAAAAAGAGAGAAAAATAGCAGACGGGACGGAAAAGAGATGGGGGAGATAGTGAGGAATTCCCCCATGTTCTTGTTCTGTGGTCTAGTCCTAAAAAGATGCTCTTTACAGAAGGTGAAGGGTTTATTTACTCAATTTAAAGACTCATTTTTACTCTAGCTTTCAAGTGATGCATGCTCTATATTTTATACTTTATTTTGTCATTTTATATGTATTCTTGGCGGCACGGTGACTCAGTGGTTAGAACTGCCACCTCAAAGCAAGAAGGTTGCTGGTTCGAAGCCTAGCAGGGCCAGTAGGAATTTCTGTGTAGCAATACTGTATATGGTTTTGCAAAGGTGATGCTATTTGTTTTAGCTTTAAGTTTAGTTTTTGTATGTTTGTGTATGGAGTTTGCATGTTCCCTTCGTGTTGGCGTGGGTTTCCTCTGGGTTCTCCGGTTTCCCCCACAGTCCAAACACATGCGCTATAAGTGAATTGGATGAAAACAACAACAACAACAAAAAAAACTGGTAGTGTATGAGTGTGTGTGTGTGTGTGTATGCGAGAGTGTACGAGTGTTTCCCAGTACTGGGCTGCGGCTGGAAGGGCATCCACTGTGTAAATCATATGCCAGAATAGTAGGTGATTCATTTCGCTGTGGCAAGCCCTGATAAATAAGGGACTAAGCCAAAGGAAAATGAATGAATGAATGAATGAATGAATGAGTGTTCTTTACTTTTTATTTGATAAGTATTTTGGTATTGTAAAGCACTTTGGATCAAAAAGTTTGGCTTGGCCTGTCCTCATATGAATATGGATAGAAGCCCCCTACGTATATGCACCATAGTCGAGTTGTGCAGGCCTTCGAACCAGAAAGGGACCCCTTGATATTAAAGATGTCATAATGACTTGGGCTGGGCAAGTGATTTGTGTTTATTTTTATTTTTTATTTTAGCTTCCAACAATTATGAAAACAGTATGAACTGATTATGAAAATGGTTGCATATAATTTCTTTACAGTAAAGCCATGCGCAAGTCTTCCTATGTAACCTCAAAGTCAGTAAAATCGTTTAACACCACTGCAAACAAAAAAGTTGACGCAACTTAAAATTGTAAGGCAACTAGCAGCACAGCCTTTTTTGAGTTGTCTTAAATTTTAACCAACTTGACTCGATTTGAGTCAGCTCAAAAAGCTCTGTAGCAAGTTGCCTTGCAATTTTAAGTTGAGTCAACGTTGTAAGGCATTTTTTAACTGTAATACTTAATTATATAGAGCCTATGTTCCTTGAGAGACTTCTACCATTTGAAAAGGAGAGAAATGCACATATTTTGTGCATTTTAATGGACAATTACACACACACAAAGAATGCTAGAATGTCCTTCTTGGTGTGTTTTAAATTTAAACCCATTAATTATGTCTGAAATAAACATACACCATTGGGAATGTAGTCAAATGAATGTTGTCAGTGTACAGAATTTGGCCTTCAACTGACACTGTTAAAGACATGACATTTCATTTTCACTGCTATAGGGCTAGCACTTTGTGTTGAAACTAGCTGGATCTAGCACCTCTAAAATTTAATCAGGCACCTTATTTTGGTGGACCCAATCGTCCACCAATCAAAAATGTTCAATGCCCTGTAGTCTACATAAATCAAATGCTTATCTCAATATTATTCCCTTTAAAGTAGGGGATCTACATTTATATATATAATATTTATTTGATTTTCTTTTTAAATATATGTGTTATAATAATCTGTACACTAATTAATAATAATACATCTCATCCATGCCGGGTTTTGTTTTTTTTTCCATGATATTTGTTTGTTTTGCCTGTTTTAGGGTTCATTTTAAACAGCTTAAAATAAAGGATTCTTATTGACTTTTTCAACTAATTTGTTTGCTGACAGTGAAACTGAACAGATAAACCTCTTTCTGGCATTTTATTAACGTACTATTAATCAGGGGCCCCTGCATAAAGTTTTGCATATGGATACTGAAAGTCTATAGGGTCAACTTTAGAAAAGGAGAACACCTTTAGGTAACCTTTAAAAGATCCCCCCACTAATATTATAAAAAAGTAATATAATTCAAAATGCAATTATATGAAACGTAATAGGTCGACGTCTCTAAATGATGTTGTTGTATTCAAAAGCAGCATGTGTTTTTAACAAATCCATGCAAATGATCCAACCTAGAGACAAGCGCTTTTGTTCTGGTGCAGAGAAGCAAATTCAAATCAGATGGGCTGGATTGTGTTCACATTTGAGTTTCGTCTGAAAATGAGACGAGATGTCATCCGTGTGAACCTGAGGACTAAATCACGCACACTGACGTATGATGTAAATACTAAAACAAAACATTGTTCAAACAAACAAAAAACTACATAAAGAAGTCGAATTATAACTGAATGTGCAATATTAGAACATGTGCAATATTATATATATATAATATAATACAACTATTTTCAAAGAAATCCAGATTTAATCTTAACTTTAAAAGTTCTCCAAAATATGAAATACGAGGAGCTTTAAACATACAATCTTCAACAACTTTCCACAATCTAAACCCTACTCCATCCAGTAGCTGAAGGACTGAATGTGGTGATGTAATACATCTGAATGAGCGGCATCTCGCCTGTCCCTCTGCCAGCCAAATGACTCAAACACATATAAATACACATGCTCATTAAATCTGAAGGCTTGAAGGGGGCAGTCGTGCCCACTCTGCAGGGTT